CGATTTTCGTTTTCTTTGTTTTGTTTGTATGATATCTATGTAAGCAGGGTACTGTGCTGTGCTTCTCTGTTCACTAGTTGACAGCACTTATACACTCACCACCTGTCTCCTTTCCTGTTGTCAGCCTCTCATATGTCCCTGACAACCATAGCAAACAGAGACTATTCTTAGGTCCCTGCAATCCTAATGAGAACGCTGTTACTTTAAAATCCAAATGGCTGCCACGTGTAAACAATCAAAATGACTGCGCCCTCCGGGCAGCTCAGATTCTCTCCCTCCTTGCTGTTTCCCTTCCAAATCATAGGCCACCAACACAGTCGTCTCTACAGCCCTTGGTTACCAGGGCTGATCTTTAGGTAATTATCAGGTCCCAACACTACTTGGAAATATTCAGGCTCTTGGTCCTGACAGTCCACAACTCCGACCGTCTCTGTACTCACTATTTTCATTCAGGTTTTTCCCCTAGTTGGTGCCTAATCCACTTCTGTATAGTTCCTTTCAAAGCTTAGGGCTCCAGGATTATCTTCTGTATTTCTGTCAATTGGTTTCTCTTTGTTGAGGAGGGTCTGTGTCGCTTGTCTGCCTATTCCACCATCTTATCAAAAGTCCCCAAGAATTAAGTCTTTTATCATTAAGAATGCCCTTTTGTGTGTGTGTGTGATTTGGGTGAAGATTTACAGAGCAAATTCACTTTCCATACAGCAGTTCACATACACTTTGTCTCATGACATTGACCACAGTTCACTGCAATGCAACAGCTCTCTTCCCACTTCCTCCTGACACTCACCTCTTCCCTGTGTCCATCCCTCCATGCACCCCTGCCCCCGAGCTGTCTCCCTGTGCATAAACAGCCCTTCTTTCTCCCATGATTGTTCTTTCCAAGGAGTGTATTTACCTCAGATAAATGTTCAACTCTTATGCCTGTCTTTTGCTTGCCTGGAAACCACAGGTGTGGGTTCAATTCCAGACCTGAAGGGCAGCTAGGGGCCATAGTCTCAGTGGTTCCACCAGGCTCTATCAGACCAGCAAACCTGGTCTCCCTTTTTTTTTTTCCAAGCGATTTTGAGTTTTGTTCCACATTGTTCTCCTTCTCTATCCAGGATCTCCTACATAGATTCCCCCTCCGAGTGGTTGACATTGGTAGCCGGGCGCCATCTAGTTCTTCTGGTCTCATAGTCGTATAGGCTGCGGATCGCATGGTTACACCAGTCGCTAGGACTCATTCTTTCCATTAATCTTTGGTTTTCTTCATTCTTCTTTGTTCTGGACGAGGAAAGACCCATTGTTGCATCTAGATGGCTGCTTGCAAGCTTTTAAGATCCCAGTCACTACTCGCCAAAGCAGGAGGTAGAACAATGTTTTGTGTAGTATGTTATGCCGATTGAACTTGATGTCCCCTGTGACTATGGTCCCAAGCCCACAGATTCAGCTACTCGGTCCCTCTGAGTATCTGGCTGTGAGCAAGAAGTGACTACAGCCTTGTCCCTTGTCAGATCTACTATACACCTGGGAATTCAGATCATACAAATACACTTATAGGACCATTATCTGCCAACCCTATACATGACTTTGAGTACACTCCCCACTTCATAGACCTACCTAATCGTTCAGCCTTTCCACCCATCTATCTACCCATATACCCATGTTTGCCTTCACTGACAACACAGTACTGCATGTGCAAAAGGAGTCATCTTTGTTGTCTGTACTTCCCACGTACCTCTCTATGTCTTCCTCTTCCTCAGTGCCACCATGTTGATCACTCACATTTGGTACATTGCCCTTCTCTGCACCCAAATCAATACTTATCTCTACTTATCTAATAGTGTTCCCTCTCCTCCCCTCCCACCCCTGGTAACCAACAAAGAAAATTTCCTTCCATAGATAAACCTTTCCTTGATTTTTACAATAACAAACTAATACAATATTTGTCCTTATGTGATTGACTTATTTCACACAGCATAATGTCCTCCAAGTTCATCCACGTTATGGAGTGTTTTGCAGATTCTAGGTTATTCTTTAGGGTTGCATAATATTCCATTGTGTGCATGTACCAAAGTTTGGTCATCCATTCCTCAGTTGTTGGACACATAGGTTGTTTCCATCTTTTGTGTAGCCTCATTTTTATCTTGTGTAGTCTGCCTAGAAGGAGCTCTGGTGGTGTGGTGCCTAAGTCATTTGACTGCTAACCAGAAGGTTGGCTGTTCAAATCCACCAGCCACTCTGTGGAAGGAAGACTGGGCAGTCTACTTCTGTAAAGGTTTACTACCTTAGAAACCCAAAGTGTGTTGCTGTAAGTCAGAATAGACTCGATGGCAGTGAGTTTGGTTTGGTTTTGGTTTAGTCTGGCTAGAGTTTTGTCAGTTTTGATGTCTTTCCCCCCACCCCCTCCAAAATTGCTTTTGGTTTCAGTGAAATTCTCTATAGTTTTTTTGTTTTCAATTTTATTAATTGCTCTTACTCTTATTTTTTCATTGTTTGGTTTCAGTTTAATTATTTTTCTTTTCTAGTTTCATAAAATAGAAATTATTAAGTTGAAGTCCTACTTTTCAAATATAAGCATTTAATGTGATATATTTCTCTCTAAGCACTGATGTAGCTGCATCCTACAAGTTTTGTTATGCTTTCATTTTAAGTAAGCCTGGTCCTTTATTTTTTTATTTTTTTTTTTTTATTGGTATTTGGATGAAAGTTTACAGAGCGAATTCATTTTCCATACAGCAGTTCACACGCATTTCATCTCATGACGTTGACTGCAGTTTCCCACAGTGTAACAGCTCTCTTCCCACTTCCTTCCCATGGTTACCTCTTCCCTGTGTACTTCCCTACCATTCACTCCTGCCCCTCGAGCTATCTCCCTGTGTATACAGTGCGCTTCTGTTCTCCCATGATTGATCTCTCCAAGGAGTGTATCAACTTGATGTAAATGTTCAGCCCATATGCCTGTCTGTTATTTGGCTGGAAGCCACAAGAGTGAGTTCAATAACCCAGGTCCTTTTTTTTTTTGATGATTTTGAGTTTTGTTCCACCTTGATCTCTACTCTATCCAGGACTTCCTGTTGTGATTCCTTTCAGAGCAGTCAGTGGTGGTAGCCAGGCACCATCTAATTCCTCTGGTCTCAGGCTAGTGGAGGCTGGGGTTCATGGTCCATTAATCCTTTGGACCGGTTGTTTCCTTGCTTCTTTGATTTTCTTCACTCCTCTTAGCTGCAGATGGGGAGAGACCAATAGTTGCACCTTAGAGGGCTGCTCACAAGCTTTTACAACCTCAGTCACTAATCACCAAGGTAGGATATAGAACATTGTCTTTGTTGCCTGTTATGCTAATTACCTTTGTTGTTTCCTAAAACTATGGTCCTACAGGCCAAGAGACTCATTCCTTTTAGGTGTTTGGTTATAGCTAAGGAGTTTTCATAACTTTTCCCCCTATATGCTCTACTATATTCATGGATATATTTGCAACACATATAAATTCATATGTAGAAATACCATGGATTATTTTCCAGATAACCTTCTGGTATCAATTCTAATAATTCCAGTACTGTCAGAAAACGTATTTTGAACAATTTCAGTTCTTTTAAATTAACATTTGTTTTGCTACCCATGATTTGATCTGTCTTGGTGACAGATCATGTATATTGTTACTAATGCGCACTGGAAAAGCATGTGTATTCTGCTGTTGTTGGCTAGAGTATTATGTAAAGGTAAATTAGAGCCACTTGGTTGATGATACTGTTCTGTAATCTACTGATGGAAGATTGTTAATGTCTCTGTGTATAATTATGGTTTTGTTAATTTCTTCTTTCAGTTCTATCTGGTTTTGCTTTATGTGAAGCTCTGTTGATAAGTAGAGGTAAAGGGATCTATGTATTAGTAAAGTTGGATCCTATTATCTCTGGAGTTGGGTCCAGCCTCTGAGGAAACCCACAAGTAATATTCTTTGATATGAAACATTTAAAGGCTCCATGGTTTAAATCATAAAGAGAGCAGTGTCAATAAAAGCTTGGCCTACTTTGCTAGCATTCACTTTGAAGGTATTTGCATGTGAGGGCCTTCTTTGCATAGGGCATAGCTGGGTCTTTGTGCAGTCTAAAGCACAGACATGAGCAGCATGTTTTTGTTTTTAATAAGAAGGTAACAAACCAGTAAATAAATATGTGTGATGAGTTAATTCAAAGTGGATAAGAAGGAAAGGTAGAGGACTTTTTCCTTTATATCCCAAATGGTTTAGATATCTAGAGTAGTTCTTTCCATAGCTGAGAAGCTGTGTCTTAGAATCCTTCTGTTTGTCAAGGAAGTGACATCCCAAGGAGCCAGTGCACTATGGGAGTTGTGGAGTGAACAGTCAGGATGCTTTTGACTCACATGTGGGAGTGGGCTGGGATGTCTGCTCCCCGCAGCCTGGATTCTGGGGCATCTTTGTTTCCCTCACCATGGGACTGTTGTTTTCTTTGTCTCTGGCAGAGCTCTGGATTGATGTCCCAGCCTGTGCCATGCGTGGTTAGGACACACTGCCCTGTCCCAGCACCTGTCCCCTTCGATCGACTGGCTCTTGTGTCGAGCCCACTCTGAGGTTTCCATGGGTAACCTAATGGACTAGAGTAGGATTAGGTATTTGTATTTGCATCTACCAGGGTTGGCATTTCTGGGACCAAAAAATATGAGATTGTTTAACAGGCTTGAAATTTTGAATTTGGGGTTGTTTCACAAATACTTTGTGTTTCATTTTTAATGAAAATATGCCTTTTGTGTAATCATATTTCAGTAAATGGTATGTAATACTCCTGCACATTATCTCAATATCAAGTAAGAGCTGAGGCCAATTGCAAAGTTGGTGAAGGTGGATACTGGAATGGATGTGCCTTGTTGCTTTTCCATGTCATGCGCCACTACCCGAAGTAGCTTGCATCACGGCACCCAAGAGATGGATGCCTCAGTCTGTACCCCAGACCCCTTCCCACCCATTGTGTTAATCATTGTTTTCATGGCCATTCTTGTCACAGAGGCCAGGACGGTCTGCATGGAAGCATGAGAAGACAGCTGTGCATGGCTCACTGACTCACACAGACCCAGGACCATGTGTGCCAGCTGCGAATAAGGAAGCCACCGCCTGTAGTGTTAAGGTGAGCCCAGCCTCTGTGCGGTGCTGGGGTAGTGAGCATTGCTGGTGCTATGTGTTCATAGTAGCAGAGGCAATTCCAGGACTGTGGAGTTCTAATGTGCGGGGTGTGCTTGTCACATAGACAGCTAATGTGTGCCACTTTCCACACAGCATCACAGTTGCACCAGTGTCAGGCACCTGATAGCAGGCTTGAAGAAAAAGGAGACTCACTGAACTCAGTCTGGATGTGCACAGACATGTGTTTCAGTGCTCAAGAGCTAAAGGTGAAGGCTTGAGGCTGAGTTGGCAGATCATAGTCTCTGCAGCCTGGAAATTGGAGAGCAGTGATCCTCGTGTCCTTGATTTGACAGTATGATGAAAACTCTGGATGCTTTCTCAAGGAAAAACATGCAATTTAAGACATGGGCACTAAGCTCTGTATATTGGGTCAAGGGTTTCACATGGCCCTTAGCCTGTCCCTGGATCCATGATAAAGCCCCCCCAGTCTGTACTGAACTTAAGTGTTCGAATCCAAGGTAGTCTCTCTGGACTCACTTATGTGCTATATAGAGAGGAGGTACCTGACCTGCACACTATCTGATAATCAGATCAGTGTTTGAGCAGAAGGTTTCTCTCTGGTTAAGAATGTTGTACAATGCTAATACCCATGATGATCTGAGGAAACAAGTAATCTGGTTCTTTTTTCAGAGCAAAAAAGTCCAAATGTGCTATATAAGATTTCTTCGCAAGATGTCTTCATTTCCTATGATTATATTTTGTTATTTATTTATTTTTTCCTTTTAGATGGAAAAATTGTACCTGCGTTATTTGAGAGCAGAGAGCTTTCGAAAAGCCTTGATTTATCAGAAGAAGTATCTCCTGCTGCTGATTGGTGGATTCCAAGATTCTGAGCAAGAAACCCTCTCAATGATTGCTCATTTAGGAGTATTTCCTTCCAAAGCAGATAAGAAAGCCACTGCGTCTCGACCTTTTACCAAGTTCCGAACTGCTGTCAGGGTGGTTATTGCAATCTTAAGGTACACACCAGCCCTTCCTCTGTAACTCGTTGGGCACAGAGTGCACCACGTCCTCTTGTGTGGCTGTCATATGGCCAGTTGATTATGCTCTTTGAAACTGCGTTCTCTTTTGAGACAAATGGCATTGGTGACCTTAAGACATAGCTGATACTTGTTTTTAAGAAATCATTTGTGCAAAACTGTCACCTTCTAGAACTAGAAGACAAAAAAATATATGCTGCCTTTTCATGGGTGTCATGATGGATTCTTTCTGACAACAAGCATATCCAGTGATGACAACAAGTATACCGAGTGACATTCAAAACCATTTCATTTTTCAAATTTCACTTGCCTATATTTTAGTCAAATACGTAAGAAGGGACTTGATAGTTCCTGTGGACTTAGTTCCAACTCATGACACCTTATGTATAAAGAACAAAACATTGCCCAGTCTTGTGCCTTCTTCATTGGTATGTTTAAGTCCATTATTATGGCTTTTGTGTCAAGGGGTTTCCCTCATTTTTGCTGGCCAAATATAACATCCTCTTCTAGTGATTGGTCTTTCCTGATAATGTGTCCAACGTAAGCTAGTTAAAGTTTTGTCATCCTCATTTTTAAGGACTATTCTGGTTTTATTGATTCTCAGACTGATGTGTTTGTTATTTTAGCAGTCCATGGTATATTAAATACTCTTTGGCAATGCCTCAATTCTAGTGCATTAATTCTTTCTTTTTTTTTTTTTTTTTTTTCACTTTTGCATACATTTAAGATGAAGGAGAAGACCATGGCTTGGGTAGTTTCATTATTAAAATGAAAGTGACATTTGATTATTAAAACTTTAAAGAGGTCTTTTGCAGTAGATTTGCCATGTGCCTTTTCCAGTTTTGAATTTCGCAGTAGACTCTTGTTCTGTTTAACTAACTGCCTCTTGATGCATTTACAGATTACATATGAGCACAGTAAATAATATTCTGGAATTCCCATTGCCTTAGTTGTCTAGTGTTGTTATGACAGAAATATTACAAGCACGTTGTTTTAAGAAACAGAAATTTCTCAGGAGATTAGAAGTCCAACTTCAGGGCTCTGGTTGTAGGGGAAGGCTTTTTCTCTCTTGGCTCTGGAGGAAAGTCCTTGTATCTTTTGTGCTTCTGTTTCTGGATAATCATGTGGCTTGGCATCTGTTTTCCCCTATTTCTGCTTGCTAGTTTGTGTGTTGGGAGCTCTGGTAGCATAGTGGCTAAGACACTTGCCTGCTAACCAGACAGCTGGCGGTTCAAACCCACCAGCCACTCCTCGGAAGGAAGGTTGGGCAATCCTACTTCTGTAGTGATACTGCCTCGGAAACCCAAGGAGGGGTCACTGTGAGTCGGGGCTGACTCGACGGCACATAACAACAACAACAACAACAGTTTGTGTGTTTACTCTCTTTTATATCTCAAAAGAGATTGACTCAAGATACACCCAAAACTAATCTTGCCTCATTGACATAACAAGGACAACCCATTGCCAAACGGGATTGTAACCACAGGCATAGAGGTTAGAATTTACAGCACATGTTTTTTGGGGGCAATTCAGTCCATAATGTCATCCATAATTTGTTATGTTCTGCATAGTTGAATGCTTTCAGGTGGTCAATAAAACACAGGTAAACATCTTTCTGGTATTCTGTGATTTTGCCCAAGATCTACCTGACATCAGCAATGATTTCCTTTGTTCTACATCGTGTTCTGAATCTGGCTTGAACTTCTGGTAGTTCCCTGTCATTTTGACCTAACTTAGTTCAGCAGAATTTTGCCAACATATGATACTAATGATATTGTTCAATAATTTTCACGTTCTGATTGATCACATTTCTTTGGAATAGGCACGTATATGAATCTCTTTGAGTCAGTTGGTCAGGTAACAATCTTCCAAATTTCTTAACATAGATGAGTGAGTGCTTGCAGCACTGCATCCATTTGTTGAAGCATCTCAATTGAAACATCCTCAAATTCTGAAGACTTTTTTTGTTTTTTAAATTGTGATTTGGGTGAAAGTTTACAGAGCAAATTCACTTTCCGTGCAGCAGCTCGTGTACACTTTGTCTTGTGACATTGACTGCAATTTCCCACAGTGCAACAGCGCCCCTCTCCCTTCTTCCCCATAGTTACCTCTTGCCTATGTCCTTCCCTCCCATGCACTCCTGACTCCCACTACCACCACCGAGCTATCTCCCTGTGCCTACACAGCCCTTCTATTCTCCCATGATTGATCTCTCCGAGGAGTGTATCTACTGAATGGAATGTTCATCTCATATGCCTGTCTTTTGTTTGGCTGGAAGCCATAGGAGTGGGTTCAATTCCAGACCTGAAGGGCAGCTAGGGGCCATAGTCTCAGTGGTTCCATCAGGCTCTATTAGACCAGCAAACCTGGTCCCCCTTTTTTTTTTTTTTTTTAAATGATTTTGAGTTTTGTTCCACATTGTTCTCCCACTTTATCCAGGCTCTTCTATATAGATCCCCCTCCAAGTGGTTGACAGTGATAGCCAGACACCATCTAGTTCTTCTTGGTCTCCTAGTCATATAGGCTGAGAATCCCATGTTGTACCAGTTGCTTGGAGTAATTGTTTCCATGTACGTTTCATTTTTCCTGGAGGCTTGTTTTTGCCAAAATTTTCAGTGCAGCTTGAACTTCTTCTTTCAGTACCAACAGTTCCTGATCATATGTTTCTTTTTGAAATGGTTGAACATTGGCCACCTCTGTTTGATACAGTGTCTTCTGTGTATTCCTTCTATTTATTTTTGATGCTTCTTGTGTCATTCAATTTTATTATCCATAGAATCTGTGGTAGTTAAGTTTGTGTGTCAACTTGACTGGGCGTGGTTGAGTGGCTGGGCAGCTGGATGTAGTATTGCCCACTATGAGACTGGTAATCAACTCCACTGTGGAGTACTGTGAGCAGCTGAGTAACTGCCTTAGGAATATGGTCTGCTTCCTGCACATAAGGAGAAGCCTTGGGGAATGGTCTGTAGCTTATGGCACGCTTAAACCCTGCATGTAGCCATGTCGTTGTTCAGCAGCCTGCCATGTTCTGCCGACCTTAGGACTTTCAATGGACTTGAATTAATAGCCTGCCATGTGGTTTGGTAACATCGCGACTGTGTCTTTGTACTTGTCAACCTTGGGCTTGTCATTCTCAGCAGCCGGCAGCTGTCTGAGTGAAGAAAAGCCTTTAGCTTCAGTGGGCTGGGAGCAGGAGGCAGAGCTGAAGCCCAAGGTTGAGGGGCTTTCACCCAGCCCCAAGAGCCTGGCACTTTGAATTCGGACTTAAAGCCTCCAAATTGTAAGAATAAACTCCTGTTTGTTAAAGCCATCCCATTTGTGGTATATTCCTATCAGAGTAGTACTACATAACTAGAACAGAATCCTTCAGGAATGCCACTCAAGGCTTAAATTTTTTCTTCACTTATTTCAGCTTGACAAATGGTGAATGTGTTCTTCCTTTTGGTTTTCTAATTCCAGTTCTTGGCACATTTCATTGTAGACTTCACTTTGTCTTCTCAAGCCAGTCTTTGAAATCTTCTGTTCAGCAATTTTACTTCATCATTTCTTCCATTTGCTTTAGCTACACTGCCCTTTATAGCAAGTTTCAGAGTTTGGTCTGATAACTATTTTGATCTTTTTCCTACCTTCCTGTCTTCTTAATGATCTTTTGCTTTCTTATATTTGGTGTCCTTTATATCCACCCACAGCTCTTCTGCTGTTTAATCATTAGTGCTTATTGTTTCACATCTGTTCTTGAGATGGTCTCTCTATTCTGGTGGGATGTATTCAAGATTATACTTTGACCCTTGTGGACTTGCTTTGATTTTCTTCAGCTTCAACTAAAACTTGCTATGAGCAATTTATGGTCTGTTCTACAGTCAGCTCCTGACTCTGTGTTAACTGGTAATATTGAGTTTCTCTACTGTTTCTTGTGTAGTCCAACCAACAAGGTCCAAGTGTGTAGTCATAGATTAATTTTTGCAAAAAAAAAAAAAAAAAAAGTATTTCCAATGAATAAGTCATTGGTCTTACAGAAGTCTATCATGTGTTCTCTGACATAATTCCTATCATCAAGGCCATATTTTCCAACTACTGATCCTGCTTTGTTTCTGACTTTCACATTTCTAATCACCAGTAATTATCAATGCCTCTTAATTGCACATTTGATGAATTTCAGCCTGAAGCAGGTTATAAAAGTCTTTAATTTCTTCATCTTTGGCATTTGTGATTGGTGTCCAAATTTGAATAATAGTAGTATTAACTAGTCTTCCTTGTATAGGTGTATAGATATTAATCTATCACTGACAGCATTGTACTTTAGGTTAGATCTTGAAATAATTCTGATTGATGGTCAAAGGAATGTCCTTCCTCTTCGATTTGTTGTTGCTGGTATAGTAGCCTATGTGATTGTTAGGTTCAACATGGCCAATATCAGTCTATTTCAGCTCTCTAATGTCTAGGATGTCAGCCTATGACCTTCAAGTTGTTCCATTTTAGTTATTTATGGCTTCTAGTTTTCCTCAAGGAGCTCTGGTAGCATAGTACCTAAGGCACTTGACTGCTAACCAGAAGGCTAGTGATTCAAACCCACCAGCCACTCCTTGGAAGGAAGGTTGGGTAATCAACTTCTGTAGTGATACTGCCTTGGAAACCCAGGGAGGGGTCGCTATGAGTCGGGTCCGACTCGACGGCACGTAACAGCAACAATTTTCCTTGACTCGTGTTTTGTACATTCCACGTTATTATTATTAATGGATATTTGCCGCTGTTGCTTCTCATTTTGAGTTGTGCCCCATCTGCAGATGAAGGTCCCAAAGGCTTTACTCCATCTGCAGCATTAAGGTCAACTCTACTTTGAGGATCCAGCTATTTCTTAGTTGTATTTTGACTGCCTTCCAACAAGAGGGGCTTATCTTCCAGCACTATATCAGACATAGTACTGTTGTTATTCATAAGGTTTTCAATGGCTACATTTTAAAAGTAGATCAGCAGGCCTTTCTTCCTAATCTGTCTTCAGTGAATCCTGTCCATCATCAGTGACCTCATTGGTATTTGAAACATGGGTGGCACAGCTTCCAGCATCACAGAACACACAAGCCATCACACTATGACAGAGAGACAGATGGGTGGTGGGAGAGCGATCTAAAACACACCAGAGACCAAACCTGTTGCTGTTGAGTCAGTTCTGACTTATGGTGAGCCTGGGTGTTAGAGTAGAACAGGGTTTTCTTGGCTGTAATCTTTACAGAAGCAGGTCATCAGGCCTTTCTTCCATGTTGCTACTGTATGAGTTTGAACCAGCAGCCTTTAGGTTAGCAGTCGAGCACCAACTGTTCGTGTCACCAGTGCATGAAAATACTTGACTGAGTGAGTGACTATACACCTTTAACCTGCGAGTGTAGCCTTAGGTCCTGCTCTTCTTTAACAGGCACCTGCCTTCTATCTTTGCTCTTCAACATGGTCTAGGAAGCCTCATAGTCTACTTGACACAGACCAGCCTGCCTGGCAGTGCCATATCTTTCCTGGAGTCATCACTCACTCACCATAATCTGTGCAGAGATTGTGCTTTTGGAGCAGGAATGTGGCTCCCTGGTATGTTGGGAATTTGATAATTTTAAAATTAGTGGAAAGAATACATTTTTTAAAATTTACTGAATTTCTTGAAGTGTTTTTCTAAGAGTAGTGTAATTGTGTCCGCTCTGTGTGCTCATAAAGAGAGCATCTACAAGGCTATCAGCATTTGTCTGGGGGGACAGAGGTGGTAGAGTGTGCCCAGGCCTTATGCTCTCTGCCCAAGGGTGTTGCCAAGAGCAGCTGGGACTCCATTGAACACTAAGCCTTCCCTAAATGTCTGCCAAGGCTGTTAACTTTGCAGATTAGGTGGATTCTTTCTCTGCGGTTATTTTTTCCACACAGAGTTTTTATTGCTCCTCTTAATCCTCTTTTTCTCTGGTCTTAAAGATATTCCCTTTGTCTGCTTTATTTTGTAGATTACGTTTTTTGGTTAAGAAATGGCAAGAAGTGGATCGTAAAGGAACTCTACCTCAATGCAAAGCCCTCCACCCAGGTAGGACATCAGTTGTTAGTAACTGTGGGTTCATAAATTTCTCTTCTAATTGTGATGATATTTTTTATTAATGTATGATCATTTTTCAGTGATCAGTGGGAAAAGAATAAGGCACTGTAGGGAAATCTGTAAATTCAATCAATGATATTGCCAAAGAAGGCAAGTGGATCTTCTGAAGAAAAGTAGTTTTAAATTGTCAGTGATCAGAAATATGACCACAGCTTATACATTCAATGAACAAAAAATGCTTCAGAAGAGCATACTAATGATTTTAAAATATGGAAATGCTTAATATATCAATTCTTTAATGATTAACGTTTAATAAAATGGCCTGTCTTCATTCTCTAAAATCGTGTGAAGCCCTACTTCATAACGCTGCATGTTTCTCTCTCAAGCAGCCTTGCTTACTTTTGGCCCATTCCAGTCGTCCTGCTTTATAACATTTTCGTGGTTCTTTCAGTTGTTGATTGGTCACTTGCCATGGCATAGATTGGCCCCTCTGCTTGGTGTCTCTGCACTCATGTCAGACATGAGTGTACTTTTTTGTGACTACCTATGAGCTCTGGTAGCATAGTGGCTAAGGCACTTGATTGCTAACCAGAAGGCTGGCGGTTCAAACCCACCAGCCACTCC